CCAGGGCTATCTTACCATTTTCTGATGTCCTCTTCAATCTCCTTTTTCAGAGTGCTGTACTTTTCATTGTACAGGTCTTTCATATACTTTTAAAGGTTAATTTCTAAGTACTTAATTTTTCTTGAAGTTGTTGCAAATGGTATTACTTTCCTAGTTCCTTTCTCAGTAGGCTCATTATTGGTGTAGCAGAATGCTATTGAATTTTTGTGCATTGATTTTTTATTCTGATGCTTTGCTGAATTTATTAGTCTTAAAATGCTTATGGTGGAATTTTTTTGGTGAGCTTCTATGTATAGGATCATATTGTCTGCAAATAAGGAGAGTTTGATTTTTTCCTTTCCTATAAGTATTCCTTTTATTTCTTTTGCCTGATTGCCCTGGCTAAGGTTTTGAGTACTCTATTGAATAAGAGTGGTAATAGTGGACATCCTTGTATTTTTTCTGATTTTAGAGGAAAAGCTTTCAATTTAATATGATGTTGACCATTGGTTTGTCATAAATGGCTTTATCAAATCAAGATAAGTTCTGTTTGATACCTTTTCATGGACTATAATTCTTTGCTAAACTAGTCATTCATGTTTTATGTCATTTTGCTTAGCTTCTCTGGCTTTTTATTAGTGTGTTCTGATCACTTTGCTAATTAAGTTCATCATCCATTTAGTTACATTCTTTGAGCTTGCCGAGAATATTATTGGTCTGTCAAAAAAATCTCTTCTGTTATTCTTTTGAATAATTCAGCTGTTTGGCTTTCTACTTCCTCCTGTCTATGCTCCATGGAACAATTTTGAAGGAATTGGGAGTCTTTGGAGGCATTTTATTGCCTTATCTTCTCATGTTTCTATTGTTTTTGTTTTGTTTTGTTTTGTGCTGAAGTTTATGTGTGTTTATACTGGAAAGACTATGTTGCTGGTATAGAGACTTCTTTAGTTAGTGTCTGCTTTTCAGTGGTACACTCTGAGTGTGGCTAACTATAGGCCTTTCTCTCTGTCCCAAGATTTGACTGCCTTCATTAATTTGGGAGGTGAGGGTGCAATAATTGGTCCATAAGCCAGTCCTCTGGGAATGAACCTCTAGCTGTGCAACAGCTCCCCTCCATGTATGGCTCAGGTCAGTCATCAAGAACACGATATATGTCAAGACTTGCCCATGTGCAAACCACCAGGAAATGAAGACATCATTCAGTTCCCAGAGATTCCTCTGATGCTGAAGGAAAGGGAACTTGCTGAGATGGGGAGCCAGGCCACTGGCAACCAAAAGATAGGCATCACAGAGACCTTCTGGACCTCATCAGCAGAGCCAGAGAAGGACACTTCTTCTGACATACAGACTGCCACCTGTCTGAATGTACTTCTGCTGGCTCGTAAAGGAAGTTCTTTTAACTCTGTGAAGAAGAGAGGACCCTGAGCAGGCCACCAAGAACCAGCCTTAGCAGGCACCAAAGAGAAGACAAGGCAATAGAATCCAACCTCAAGAACCCCTCAAATAATCAGGACAACCCTATATCCCTAGATTTAAAAATATTTTCTACCTCCCCTTCCATAATCTCTATAGGTTTATTTTTTCCTCAATAAAAATATGCTCTTGTTAAAAAAAAAAAAAGAAGAGTCCATATGCAAGGACTTAGGGAGCCTGAGTACAAGAAATGAGTCACAAATGGGAGGTCCTGGGCTCCTATGAATTTGACATAAAGACGAAAGGCATGAGCCTGACTGTGCTGCTGTCAAGGCTGTGGAGCTGAGTGGCAGGTGGACTGGGAATTTTGCTGGCATCATACAGAATTCCAGTCCTTCATGACTCTTGTAGGTGAGAACCTGGAACAAATATGTTTCCTTCATTTAAAAATATATGACATATTTATATTTTTAAAAATCCATGGATGATATTTTATGTATACAAAAAAGAATGATGAGTTATATTGATAGAGAAGTGCTGTACAATAAGACAGGCCCTTACCTTGCCTCCATTTTTTTTTCCCCACAGGATGTTTTGTTGTGGAAATGTAAGTTTGTGTTGGTGGGTTCCTGCCCAATGCATCAGAATGATTTGTGACTGTTTAACTGTGTGACTGTTGTGGAAGGAACTGGTAAATGATGCATAGAGATGCAGAAGTGGGTAAAATTAAAAAAAGTGTTTACTTAGCTAGCAAAGGGTCAGCCTGCACCAAAGGCTATGCCAAATGACGGACCCTGGACTGGGTCACAATCTTTCTAAGAGTCTTACAACCATGACCTAATTTTAGGTAATAAGACATTCTAGTTCCACAGCTCCCATCACAAGTCAAGGTCTCAGTTTCAGTGTTAACTCAAATGTAGCATTTTGTTTCAGGATGTTCATCTTTAGCTATCCAGCTCACAGGAGTGTGGTTCAGGGTCAGGAAAGCAGGACTGGTGACATTCCTCTCCTCAACACCTTTATAGTCATATGGTTTACAGAATGTTTTATGGCTCAGGGACTGTTATCTTGGTTTGAACATCTGGTCTCATCCTGGGATGCGGCTATGCACCTCCAGCATTTGTTAATTTTAAACTGGGGCTATGTACCTTTAAACTTCACCGATGAAACCTCAGGTGTTTTGTTAAACAAGCAAGTTACAGAAGCAAAAGGTAGTGGTTATTCCATATTTGTCTTTAACATTTTGTAGGTTTCAGACTATTTACGGAAGTTCTCTCTATCACGACCTTTCAGGAATGTTGTGTTAAGCTCTGCTCTCTCACAAGAAGGTTGTGTTAAGCTCTGCCCCCTCTCAATAATGTTTTGTAACTCCTGTTTGTGCCCAGCGTATCAAAATGGTTTGGGACTATTTGAACTGTGTGACCTTTCAGAAATGTTCCGTTAAGCTCTGCCCCCTCACAAGAAGGTTCTGGAAAGCTCCACCCTCTCTCAGGAATGTTCTGTAACTCTGCCCCTTGCTTCAGTGAGCATGCTTGCCTACCCTGTAGATCCCTGTATAAATAGGCTCTCATTTCTGGTAGAGCGCTCAGATTCTTCTGAGCCTGCCAGGGCTCACCAGCATAATAAAGTTTTTTTTTTTTTCTCCACCTCTTCAACTAACCATCAGATTCTTGAGTCTTCAAATTACAAGAGCTGTGTTTCAGAGCCACCACACTGAGCTGTTAAGCTCAGCCATGCCTCTGAGCTGTGGCACTGAGCTGTAACCCTGGGATATAACACTGAGATATTCTGCTCTGCTGTAACAATATGAGAAAATAAAATAAGTACACATATAATAAGTCTGCAATAAGGACAAGGATGTAATGTACATTACATGTAGTCGCTTACAAATTGCTTCCGCTCACTCAGCATTACATTTTCTATACCCACTCGTAGTTCAACTTTCACTACTGAGTAATAATTCATCGTGTGAATATTTAGCCATGTCTGACACAGCGCCGGCGCCCTTTATCGCGGCTGCGACTGCTGCGGACTGGATACACCGGAGGAGGCCCTTTCCCCACCTGGGGTCCGGCCATAGAGACCCGGGAGCTGGGTGGGAAGCGCCGGGCCCAACTGGCTGGGCACGTCGCACACTCCTAGCTGACGCAGAAAAAGTCCGACCCGGCGCTTCCGAGGATAAGTACGGCGCCTGGGGCCATAAGTAGGGCGCCTGCCAAGGGCTAAGGAGCTTTCTGGCCCAGGGGGCGGGGCCTAGCTGAGGAGGCGGGGCCGGCCGTGCTCAGAGCTCCCGGCCGGGTGCGGGGAGGTGCGCGTACCTCCCAGGTGCTACCCGAGTTCCTGAACCTGCCGCTCGCACCCCTGGTTGCCCGGCCGGTACTTGGTTTGCACAGCTTTTGTCCAAGGTTCGAGACTTAGTGAGCAGAGTTTGCCCCCTCTTCTGGTATAACTAGTTTTGATGGCTGGGAATAAAGGAAGAAGACGTGCTTTAATATTGAGGCTGTTGGCTTCGGCAGAGGTGAAAAGTTGCCTGATGTAGTGTTGAAGCCACCGCGACGGTTTCCTGATACAGATTATAAGCCAGTGCCACTGAGAAGAGGAGAAAGTGAAGATTACATGCTGGCCTTAAAACAGGAATTGAGAGAAACAATGAAAAGAAAGCCTTATTTTATTGAAAAATCCGAAGAAAAGCCACATAGTGAAAGGTATAGTAAGAAATATATGCAGACATACAGAGAAGAATGGATACCAGATTGGAGAAGACTCCCAAGAGAGATGTTGCCACGGAAAAAATTCAGAAAAGCAGACCTAAAATTCAAAAACGCAAAAGGCGCAAAGTCTTTTCTCTCATTAATGCTGCAGATGTGTTGAAAAAAATTGAGGAACTGGAAAAGAAAGGTGATGGTGAAAAATCTGACGAGGAAAACGAAGAGAAAGAAGGAAGAAAAGAGAAAAGTAAGGGAGGTGATGACGACAATGACGATGATGCAGAACAGGAAGACTATGACGAAGAAGAGCTAGGAGAGGAAGAGGACTCAATAACTCATACTTTGAAGACAGGGATGATTTTGGTGTTGACAGTGATGACAACATGGATGAAGCAACCTATTAACCATGAACTTTCTTTAAAACATGTTTATAATTCATCTTCTGAGTATTTGAACAAAGTGGATTTGGTTTGTTTGTCATAAGGAGTGAGTACCTAGTTTATTTTTGTCCCTATTTTGCTGAACAAATCCTTGTTACCAAAATATGTAAAACTGCTTTGAGCTTACACGCTGGTTACCTTGTAAACGGGTCTCTGAAACTCTGACACTCCCTCTTAAATGCCTCTGCCATCTCTCTTAGGTCTGCCGGTGGAGTTTTGAAAAAGTTGGATTTGAATGTTGCCCAAAGAGCTTTTGCATCTCTTAATCTATATATCCACACTTGAACAAACTGGTTTTCTTTAACTGCTGATCTTTCCTAAAGATTATTATGAGTCATAACGGCTTCCTATAATGTAAAGGCTGACAATACAGCACATGGAGCACTTTAAAAACAAACTTGAAAATTATTTTTTACTTTTACGTGGAATGTACTACTACATTATGACTACAGAAACTCACCTGAGCTCTCACAAAGGCAACTTCAGAGAGTGAAAGTTTTGTGATTAAAAACATACGCCTGGGGAAAGACGTCCCTGTGAGCTCTGACGTCACAGTTCACTCCTCAGTGGGGAGAGGTTTTCATGTTGGATGGATGGAGCACGTGGGTTTGGGCCACTTCAGACCACAGCAGTACCTGTGGTCTCACTGTAACAAGTGTGACATGTTCAAACAACTGAGCTTGTGAAAAGTTAGACAGAGGCATCCTGTTGAATTTTGCACTTTCTGTGAGTGTGGAGTAGGTTCCACTTATATCCGCTTCACAGCAGCAGCTAAGTGTAAGCTGCGAGGAGGGCGGTGGCCTCCGCTGTGCCTCACAGGCCTCCATAGGGCTGGATATGTAATAGTGTAGAATGAACCCAGGTCATTTTGGATTAATCCTATTTTAATTTAAAAGCTAGCTCCCCTTCCCATTTTATATTTTGGCGAGAAAATACCTACAAACCTGAGCCTCTATAGAACTAAAAATGCCAAAGATTTTCAAAAAATTCATATTGTATATTTCAAAAACAACTTATTAATATCACATACCAAAATAAATATATTTTTCTCTTTGGAAAGATATCACCCATTTGCCTGAGCACAGAGCCCTAAATTCTATTTCTACCTAGAATATTAAATTCAGCCTTGAACTTGAAAGGGTTAAGTTTCCATGCCTTAGTTTCTCCACCTGTAAAGAGTTTCCTATAAAAATTTTTTAAACACTAACCAGAATATTACCTTATATATACATACTCTTTGCTTTTAAAAATGGTCAGGTCTTAAATTTGATTCTTACCTTCTAATCAGTCATAGCTATAACTGAAACCACACTTTTCCTTGTAAAATATATTATTGCAATCAGATTTTCCTATTTTGTTATTTGTAGGGAAAACTGGAGAAAATTTATGTTGTCTTGTGTGGCTTTGCAACATGACTGTCTCAGGAAAAAGATCTCTCTCAATGGCAATACTTCCACAAATAAATCAAGACAGGTTAGAAGCCCATCTCATTAGTTTAGCACTGTATTCTTATATGTGACTTACTGTTTAAAAGAGCTTATCAAAGTTCTACCAAGAACATAAAGTTTTAAGTAATAGTGGCAGAGCTGTCACTTTGGAATGATAACAGTTTCATTCTTTTTCTCCTTTGGTATCACAGCCAAATACTACTGTTTAGTCCATAGGAATCATATCTCTGCACTGTTTTCTTGCTTTCTTACAAGTCTACCACTAACTCCTTGATTCAGGCAGATGCACTGAAGGTACGTCACTTTTTCTGGATTTCAGTTCGCCGTCACTGGGCTAGTCCTGCAGTGGGTAGGGCATTCCCGTTGGGCAAGGCTTTGCCCTAGGGGGCCCACTAGGTATATTCTTTCCCCTTTTGGAAAATCTTTTTATAATTTTAAATGGTATTAATTATGAGGACAGGATCTGCAAGTTGTTTTATTAACCAGCACAAACCTTATTTTTGTGCCTGAAGTTCTGAGACCATGAAGTTACTCCATTGGAAGGTAAACGGTATTTTGCAGAGACAGCTTCTTTATATATAGCAAAGAACTTATTGGTGATATAACAAAACTGGTTGCTATAATGCCTTTTCTTTTGTTATTTGTTTACACATTAAATTCTTTCAAATTAAAAAAAATACTTAACCATCTCTTCTCCTAAAAGTGAGCACATGGTTGATTTTATGTTGTTTTCTGTTATATGGAGAAGTAGTTGCCATAAACATTTTGGATGTATTTCCTGACACATCAAAGCAGAGGTTTCTTGGTGGGAAGTGGTTTCCCAATCTATGGATCACAATCCACAAGTAACTTATGAAAATTTAGAAAGCAGCCATCATGCATAGCACAAGCAAAGAACACAGAGGAGAGTGAGGAGGGGAAGATCGGTTTCAACCAAAACAGGCATCTTTTCTTAATCACCAGGATGAGGAACAGAGAGGAAAAGAGAGCAGGGGGAGGCTATAGTTCCCTTGGACTTTCTGGAAACACAAATTTATTCCTTTGGCTGTGTGTTGGGAATCCATAGCCAAGACGATATTGCAGACATCAAGGATCGAGTACTATTTTAAAGGAAAAACTTCACAAATGTTGCCATGGCAAAACTGCAAAGAATCTAGAATGTCAAATACCATGTTCTGAGCCTGTTGAATCAAGAACTATTTGGCAAGAGAGTTTATGTGCAATTTGAGTATATCATGCCCTGCTATAAATTGACATAGCTTGCTGAAATGCAAAGAAAAATGATGAGAGCAGAACTGAAGTCAGAAAAGGAAAGCACCGGTGTGTAGAGGAAATACAAGTGTCATCCACCCTACAAAACTGCTTATTGGAGAGGCCAGGGTAAGGAGTCTGAGCAGTGGAGACTATCTATAATTCATGCAGGATGGGTCTGAAAGACATGAACCTTTCCTATGAAAAATTAGAAAATGTCAGAGCATATTGTGCATAGTAAGAGCAAGTTCTGATTTCTCTAAACTAATTTCACTGGATTGGGATATGAAATAAAACTACTTATTTTAAAGAATTTGAGATATGGTGTTGCTAAGTTGTCTAGCGTAGGCTTGAACTTGCTGTCCTCCTCTATCAGCCTTTCAGAATGCTGGGATCTTTTATTGTAGCAAATGGTTAAAACATTTAGAGCATGGATGGCCAAACTGCAGGCTCACCTGGGCCGCATCGAGTGAAGAGGAGTAATACAACAAGAAAACTAAGTAAGAAAATGTATACGTCTGCTTAATAGCAGTAAGTGCCTGTCTTCACTCACACACACACATGTGTAGGTGAGTTAAAATATTATCATTAGTAACCCCTGCATTTTACTCACCAACTCAAGCAAGTGTATGTAATGTCAGGCCCATGCAGGTTTTGATTAGACTGATTATGGGCTGCGGGGTGCAGGAGGTGGAGGTAGCACACTGTACCATGTCCTCAGCTAAACAGCCTCCTGTGATCACCTATACCAGTCTCTGCTTGAGCACTGTGCATGAAAAAACACTACAATTCTAGCTGCTCATCCTTTGTTGGTTATCTGTTACAAAGATTTTGTTTTTTTCCATCTATATGTCTTTTGGTGGGCAGAAGTTCTTAGTTTAAATGTCACTTAGATCGTTTATTTTTTCATTTATACTTTATGTGGATTTTCTTAAATTAAAAAAATCTTTCCTTACCTAGGAGGTGTAAAAGTGTTCTCCCATGTTACCTTGTCAGTTTTGGTCTTTCCAATTGGAATTGACTCTCGTATGTGAGAGTCAAAGAGTATGAGAGTATGAGAAATCCAACACCATTTGTTCAATATTCTTTCCTTACTTCTCTGAGTGCGACCTGTGTTATACATTGTTCCACGTGTGTCTATGTATTCTGCTCCATCGATCCATTTTTTCCTCTGAGCGTCAGTTCTACACTGATTTAATTACTGTACTTAATTACCAACTTTATTTGTATCACGTAATAAATCTAGGGAGTTAATTTCTCTATCTTGTTCACTTTGAGAATGTCTTGTCTATTTTTGGCCCCTTTCTTTTCCTTCCTTCCTTTTTATCTTCCCTCCTTTCCTTTTTTTTTCTTTTCCTTTTCCCCCATTTCCACACTGAGGAATGGACCCAGAACATTCACATTTAGCTACATCCCCACCCCCTTTAATATATATAAATTATAATATATACTATATTATTATAATATGTAATATACATTAATGTCTAATATATATAATATATATTATATATAGTTTTGAGTCCACCCAAGTTGCCTAAAGTAGGCTCAAACTTGGGATTCTTCTTCCTCAGTCTGCCAGAGTGCTGGGATTATAGGTGTCTGCCATCATGCCTGACTAGCCCTTTGCTTTTCTATATAAAATACTGAATCTGCTTTTTCAGTGCCATGAAAATTCTTATTGAAAACTACAGATGATCCCTAATTTAGGACGATTTGACTTATGATTGTTTTTGTCTTTGCAATGATGCCGAAGTCATACATACATGTACAGCAGAAACTGCTCTTTGATTTTGAATTTGGATTGCATCCCAGGCTAACGATATGTGGTCCTAGAGTAACTGGCAGTGCTGGGCTGCAGCTACAGCTCCCATTCAGCCCAAGATCACCCATGATCACCCATGATCATGAGAGAAGCAACCACACTCCCCACTGTATGTGCTGCTGATTTGGGGATGTTCAGAAAGTTAGGTGTAGTAAGTGCAAATCTGACGATATTTTCAACGTTCAGTGCATTTATTTATATGTAACACTATTGCAAGTTATTAAGCATTTGTAGTTTTAAATTGCAATATATCTATGGATTCATTTTGCAATATCCAAGCATAATAATTAAGTTACATTCATTTGAGTCTTTAAAAAATGTCTTTTAGTAAAGTTTTATCATAATAGGACTTGTACATTATTTGTCATATTTATTCCTGAGCTCTTATGCTATTGTAAATTATAGCAACCTTTTCAAAACAACGTTTCTTATTGAATAGAAGTACAACTGAATTTCATATTATAATGAGTTTTTCAGTAATCTTGCTAAACCTTTGTGAATTCTAATTTATCTACAAATGTTTTAGATATTCCTGCCTTGTTAATCAAGCATCTGCAAATAATCAGATTTGTCTCTCCCTTTCTAATCCTTTTGTCTTTAATATTATTATTTTTCTCTCCTGGCTGAGCGTTTTGATGGAATGGTGAGTACAAGCGGTAACAATGCCAACCATCATTTCCTGGATTAAAGGCAATGCTGAGCTGGGGATTTAGCTCAGTGGTGCTGCCACCTGCCTTGCAAGCGCAGGGTCCCGATTTTGATCCCTGGTAAAAAAAAAAAAAAAAGGCAATGCTGTTGGCATTTCACAAAGTTCGCGTTTTTTTACTTTTTTATTTCATGAAAAATAAAATTTCATAATAAAATGACAGTAAAAATACTTATAACACTGTATATCATAATCTTAAAAGTAGTTATTCAGAGTGCAAGATATAAACAAGAAAAGACTCTTGCAGAAAATAAACATAATAGTATAAAACTTTCTTTTCTTTCTTTTTCTTTTTTTTTTTTTTTTGAAACAGGGTCTCACTGTGTAGTTGAGTCTGACCTGGAACTCACTATGTAGCCCAGGCTGGTCTCGAACTCCCAGCGATCCTCCTGCCTCAGCCTCCCTAGTGCTGGGATTACAGGCATGCGCCCATGCCCGATTCCATAAAACTTTCTTTTCAATGTACTAAGAGAAACTAGTAATACAAATGAACCAAATTAATGTATATATATTAAAATATTTTTGAAACAACAGAATAGGTAATTTGGGGAATTATTTGAATCCCTACTTCCTATTTATCTATTTTGCTCTTTATTTGCACATGTGAAAAGAA